ATCCACCTCACTACCTGATCACCAAACCCATACTTGATCAACTTATCTATAAGGATGCTGTGGTAGACAGTGTCAAATGCTTTACTGAAATCAAGATAAACCACATCTACTGCTCTACCATCATCTATCCACCTAGTAAAACCATGTTAACTGCTCCTTGATATGCCTAGAGATAGTGACAAGAACAAGTTGTTCCATCACCTTTCCAGGGATGGAGGTGAGGCTCACTGGTCTATAGTTACCCAGGTCCTCCTTCTTGCCCTTCTTGTAGACTGGTGTGACATTTGCTGTCCTCCAGTCCTCAGGCACCTCTCCTGTTACCCATGACTTACCGAAGATGATGGAGAGTGGCCTAGCAGTGACCTCTGCCAGCTCCCTCAGCACCCTTGGGTGCATTCCATCCGGACCCATCAATTTATGGATGTCCAGATTACGCAACTGATCCCTAACCCAATCCTCATCTACTATGGCAAACTCCTCCTCTATCTTAACTTCTTCTGGAGCTATAGGAATCTGGGGCTCCTTGGGAAAGCCTGCAGGAGTAAAGACAGAGGCAAAGAAGGCATTCAGCACCTCTGCCTTCTTTATATCCTCTGTGACCAGGACACCTACCTCATTCAACAGTGGGCCTATATTGCCTCTAGTGTTAGTTTTGTCAGTTATGTATTTGAAAAAGCCCTTTCTATGATCCTGAACCTGACTTACAAGGTTAAGTTCCAAGGCAGCCTTAGCTTTCCTAGTTGCCTCCCTACATCCTCTGGAATATAGGACAACTGTCCTATATTCCTCCCAAGTGACCAGCTCCTCCTTCCATGATCTGCAGATTTTCCTTTTCCACTTAAGTTTGCCCAGTAGTTCCTTTTTTAACCATGCAGGTCTTCTAGCTCCCTTACTATATTTCCTAACCATTGGGACGCTCTGATCATGTGCTTGCAAGAAGTGGTCCTTGAATGCTGACCATCTATCTTGAGCCCCTTTACCTTCAGCGAATGATGATCTATGTTTTAGGAGACTTATTTCATACAGAACTGCCACGAGCTCCACTGGGCAACTCAGCCAGACTTTTTGAGGGCAAGGCACCAAACCCTTGGAACTTTGTATTACACCTGCACACCCTGACCAGACCACTCCCTTACCATGCATGCATCAAGATCAATTTTTGCTCAGTGAACTGCCCTCTGTGACCCACTGTGAGAGCAGCCATGCATACTATGATATTCTCCTAACCCTGTCAAACAAGTGTCACTTATTCCTTAGTAAAAAGTATTCTGATTAATACCTTATCAAGGCAATTAGCAACAGCATCTTTTAAGCACCCACATACATCCCTAAGAAGATTGGAATTGTCTGAAGATTTTAAGTTTTACCAACAAGAATAACAAGTGTGTAAAGTTCTAAAAAAAAGTTTGTAAATCATGTAGTGCTGAATTTTTTTACTAGCCACAATGCCACTAGCTTCTCACTATCTCCCCACTGAATCTTCAGGAGACACTTGATCTAGTAGAAAAGAGAATTCATTATCTGCCTCCCCATATGATGTAAATATTAATTCCAAATGTTAAGTCCATACTTCAGTGTTGAGAAATAGTTCCAAAGAAAGAAGGTTCCCGCATCCGAAACTGTCTTGGGAAGTAGAGAAAAAATACCACAATATATATGTATCATATTCCATACCTCCCACAACCTGTACACTTAGACCACCACAGAGCTGTTACAAAAAATGCTGGGGTTCGTGGGGTTTTTTCATACCTTGCACAATTTCACAAGTCGCCGAACATTCACTCGTCTTGCTTCCGCAGAGTGTTTCTCACATACAGAGCTCTCCCAAAGTTGTGGAACTGCGCTGTGTCACCGCTCCTCCCAAAGCCACATCAGCACTGTCCAACAGCCGGAGCATTTAACTATCCTGCAAATGAAGGTGTATCCTCACTCGGTGTGGACCGCCCAACATACGTGGAGTTCCACAACTTGTACGTGTGTTTCTCCCTCTTGGTGCTTAAGAAGTGTTCCTTTGGCTTGCTTTGTTGAACACTCTTCCGA